CAAGCCCTGCTATAGACAACAGACACTGGCCAGATCCACACTGCCACGGAATATATGTACAGTAGATGCCCATTTCACTTGAACACGTAGACAAATGATTACAAACAGTGAAACAATAGTGATACCACGTGTGACTTTAACAAAAAGCATGCAAACCTTGTATTTAACCGGTTAGAGACACGGTTTTAACATTACATTGATACCATGATAAACATTGATACCATTTCATTTCGTGAGCTCTCGGAGTGTTTTTGGATGGGGGGGGGGGGGGGACATGGGTAAATGCCACGTTTGCCCCCCACCAACCCCCTGACTTCTCTCTCTGCATGGCGAGATACTGAATCTGGCACTGGTTGTATGGTTGAGGCTTGTTCTCGGAGTAGGATTGCTACCTCTTCAGATGGTTATTGGGGGCATCCCGAGCGATGTTACATTGAAATGCTCGTGTGTTACGAGCAAACTTGCACACGCATCAAATCATTTGTCGACACTGCATTTGGCAGTGGTGCAAACGTAACAGCAACAAAAATCCGACACGTCTTAAACAACACTGTGGCCTTAACATGAATAAAGTATATACCGTAATTCTAACGTTTCGGGCAATGCCCTTCTTCACAGCACATAGGCCAGAGAGGTAGAGAGACCTGTCTATCGCACCACCACACAGCATTCAAAACATTTAATTTTGGACGTGACTTGCGTGGAGGGTCAGTGCATGGTGGCCACCGTTCCCATGACAAAGGACAATCCCTTGCCATGGGCAGCGTGACACTTCGCTTATATCTGCCATTGCCTTCCCTGTAAACAAACAAATATAACCAAGCATAGGAAACCCAAAACACACTTGGGTAAAGCCAAGTTTCCATAACAGGAGACAACGCGCGGACACATCTGTACGTGTTAGTTGGTAGTACCATAGTCCTCCCACCGAGGAGATGGAGCAATGAAAGCCGCTCCGTGCGCTGGGTGGATTGTTGCATCGCAGGATTGCGAGTGGTGGTAGCTTGGGGAGACCTTCATCCAGCAGTGGATTGACCATGGCTGATGTTGACGGTGGAACCAAACCACCAACTCTGGCGTTGGGGAGTTCACCTGCAACTTAAATTGACCACGAGGCCAGGAGTGTACAAAGTTTTAGCATTGAGGGCCGGATTAACATCAACGTTAATAACAGATGGCTATATAATTAGGGATAGAAGATACAGTATATTCAGAAATAGATGACAGATAGTCGATTAATTTGGAAGATAAGTGAGAAGAGATACGAGTGATAGCAATGAGATGAGAGCATTTATGCAGGACACACATGAGATCGAATTTAAAAGAGACAAGCGTGGGCACGTGTTATACTCACAGGAGGAACTCGGCCGAAGTTCACCCATCAGTCCCGAAGCCCCACCGACGCAACCTCCTCATCACGCCAAGACAGTCTACAAGCTGATCAAGAGAGTTAATGTAATTATTGCACATTTTGCAAAACAAATCAAGTTAGCTTGATTAATGTAATTTCAAAGCTGCGAACAGCTACCTTTTTTTAACAGTAACCGCGAGCATCACCGCAGGCCAGATTTACACAACGGGATTGCGTAGGGCCCAGTAGTCAAAGCAGACATCCATAACTGGAAGGTACCCCAATTCGTAGCGAGATCATCAAGGTGTCATCATGTCCAGATCCGTTGATGCCACCCCTTTATGTATCCTCTTACAGACCCCCCCGCAGCTGCTGCACAGGAGACGAGACCTCCAAGATCTATCCCGACAGCTTAATTCCCACCACCTGCTCTTAGGTCTTCTCCTCGGTTGCCAGATTCGTGGAGACCATTCCAATGCCCCCTCTCGGAATCTTGCCTTCTCCCCCTCCTTCCTGGCCATGTGTCTCACCCGGCTCACACCATTTACCTGCCACGTTCTCTTCCAGACGTTAGCACGGCTTATCCCATCTTGCAGCAATGACATTCCTAGCATCCTACAACAGACGGGAGCTCTTTATTCCTAATAAGGCTGTAATCAGCAGAAATAGTAACCCCCCCCCAACTCCCCCCGTGTTCCTTCTCGCTTTAATCACTGGTTTGGGCAGCCCTGCACGACACCATTCAGTCATTCGGCAGCGGGCAGGAGACATTGTCCAAGTAGCAGGTGGTAACATTAAAAAAAGCGTCGTGTTTTTTTACGAAATCAGGATTTGCGCTCGACCTACACGTCTTCACAATAGCCGCGCAGTCCAAACGTGCCCTCTGTAGCATTTGTGTAAACAATGTCACCGTTTGCACAGTCGACAAGGATCCACATTTATCCGCATATAGCAAAGCACACAGATGAGTGTTGTCAAGCATAGCATTGTTTTTACACCAACCGTGTCAGGAACGCGTCATCGTGACATTTGAGTAGATCGCCCGTGATGTCATTTGGGCTCGTGTTGTGGAGCAATAATATATTTATATTTGTAGACGCGTGCGACAAACTAGTTTCGTGGACTGTATGACTAGGAATGGAACCTGGGTCACAGGAGGTGATCTGAACGGCACACAATCCACGACTATGCAGCAATGCATCAATCGCCGTCAATCATCAGCCACCCTGTCCACTGCTACGTGAACGTCGTCTGCCTAGTTTACGAAACAATGCACCCATTTTTAAAATGTCACTATTACGTTCAAGAACAGATGCCTTTAAATCCGGCGTGACAATCCATCGTTTGACTTGCGCTGTATTCGTTGCGCGCGGTTGGTTCCCGCGACCCTCGCAGCCAGGAGAGCCACTCCAATGCACCACGACGAGACGACATCAAACAGAGCACGCGTGTACGCACCAGCACGTGGTACACAACACAACGCCGTGAAACAGTGGCAATTAATGGAATCTCCCGAGCTGGCGGGGGGTGAGATCCTGTAGGGGAATACGGCAGACACCTTTATTACCTACACAGCCATGGACCTTGCTACAGGTCAAGCTGGCGCGCCTCCTGACAGATAGAGCGCGCGCAGCCGGCTGGCTAGCGGACAGGGGGGGGGGGGGGCATTTGGTGGTGGTCAGGGCGCAGAGGGCAACCCACGGGCCAAGCAGACGGCACTCCACCCAGACTCGGCGGCCACAGCCAAATGATCGCTGACGATGGAGGGAAATTCCAGTTTGACCGGGGGCGGAGAGGCACACGATCCTGGCACCTTCACACTTTGCTTGAAATTAAAACCCCCACAGAAGTGAACACCCGGGAGTGGGGCCCCTATCGGCCGCCGTGTCGGTGGAAGCGTAAACCAGGGCTGGAGCAATTCCTAAACTGCACGACGCGGCCAGCACTTAAAGTGGGTCCCGGTGGGCCCTGCCCCGACCAAAACGGTCCCTTCAGCCCACAAGGGGCCATCCATTTAGAAGGTAACGCAAAAAAATCTGTTAAAACTTGACCCCTCCCCCCCCCTCCCTGTACGCGCTGATTTTTTACATCTCCCCCCCCCCCCCGAATCCTAGAGCGGCCGATATTTAATCCACGCAGAAACGATCAAGGATGAATAATATTAACGTGTTTCAGGTAGTCCACCGCCGGACTAACTCATTTGAAGGCCAATGTAGACAAATTATTATCGAGGCTTCAACCCCCCCCCCCCACCCCGTTTCCTATGCGTACGAACATTGTCAGTAGACCCCCCATACGCAAGCGGACGCGTTTGGGTAAACCCCCCCCCCCTCCCTCTCCCTCTCCATGCGTACGGACTCAATGGATGGCCCCCAAGTTGACTCCTGATCGTAGAGCATTACTGCGATGATGACTCCACACAGCAGCTGTACAAACCCATCGCCCCATCCGAGAAGGCTCGAGTCCGCAGATTAAGACACGCTCATTTGCGGTAATCCGGAGAGATCGTGCAATGCAAAAGTACATCGTGCAGTGTTCCAATTCAGCTAGCATGGGTTCGTGAAGTCCTGTGTACACCAAGTGAGGGTTGTGAACTTGGTCTTCCGGGACGAACAGCCATCGAAGGTCATTTACGCGAATTTGTTTTCATCGGATGCCGAATCTAGCGGCCTCTCGGTGGCTGAAGGGGGTATACGCAGGCGCATTATCCTCGTTTATGGAGTTATTTTAAAATAAAACTACTCTTGCACGCCAACGACGCAAATGTTGAGTGCTTAATCACGCCGAGGAAACATTTCACCCTTGGTTAACGCCCGAAACAGCGAGGAGAGCATTCAAACGAACGTAAAACTACAAAACACAACACCGATGAATTATAATTTAAAGCTTTCGTCACTGCAGGGATTCATATTCTTGGTTTCGCTAGTCACGTAGAAGGGAAACAATAAAATAATAAAAAATATAAAACAATAAAATTCTCACGACGTTGACTGCAACACACGCAATCATCATCAGGTGTGAAACCCACACCAACACCTGATGATTGCTTGTGTTGCAGTCGAAACGTCGTGAGAATTTCGTTTTATTATTTTGTTTCCCTTCCACGTGACTTTACCGAAAGAACCAAGAATATAACACCGATGCTTGGCAAGCACAACTTCAGGGAGCCGAACGGGAATGCAGTGGACAACAACACCGTTGTGTATTTTTTCTTGCTTAAGTTAAAATAAATGCTACGCTCCATTGGACCAAATCAAGTACACCTATCCACATGCTACAATGTTGTTCTCTTACCGGAGCACGAGAGCTCGCCCCGAGGAAAGACGAACTTTGAACCACTGCCAGTGGCCAACGTCACCGCAACCACTGCTCCACACTGCCTTCTGGTGGAATTAACGGAGGACGTCTGCGAATTAAGATTTTCTGCGAAACCTTAAGGCGATCCAGGTTGCACTAAATTTCAGATGAACATTTATATTTCAAACGCAGTAAATACACATGCGAAGGCTGGTAAAATGAACCAAACTTGTCATACTTCTAATCCGGCGACACTGATGACGCTATGGAGGATTGGGATAGAAGACCATGGCACAACAGCATATATGGCTACGAAACCACAATGGGTTACAAAAACAAACCCACGGTTAAATATTTTAAAATCATGTTTATTAAGAAACGTTACAAATTTTACATTGCAAGTTAGCTTAGTCCTTTGATAAAGTGAAGGGCACACTTAATAAAATAAGACTTGCTTTGCCTAAAAATGTACACCATTTCACCGCATCTCATTTAACATATGGGCATAACACCAAGTCAAACAGAGGCAAGATCCACATTTCAAAATAGGCTTGCCAAAAAATGATTAAAAAAACGTTGCACAGCGACGAACGCAATCTTCTTTTTATAATAAACATACAAGGTGTTCTTAGCAGCTTGGGTTCATAAGAATGTCACTGGACCTGGCTTCTGCTGTCAAGCCTCTTGATTCCCTGGGACGTGCGGACGAAAATGGCTTTACTACAGTCTTTTGAAATGGTGCCCTCCTACCTGGTTCAAGGTAACAATGCTTATGCACAGGTTGATACAGATATGGGAATATGCATAAGGCCCTGAATGTAAATGGCGCGGTTCCACGATGGAGTGAAACTCGTACAAGCACTCATTTTGGACCGTGCCATTTAATTTCATTTGGGGTGAGGTCAGTTTGTGTTTTTCTGGAGCCACCTATCCCGTTGTGAAGGCATGGGGCAAAAAAAAACGAAGCTTCAACATACAGCAGGAAAGTATCTAATTTAACCCTATTCCACTAAAAAAATGCAAACTTTCAATTGAACATTTTCAAAAGTAAAAAAAAAAAACACATTTCAGGCCAAAAAATTGGCTTCAAGTATTTATAACATTGTTAGTTGCAATATGTATTCATTACGTTACACGAATACCAGAGTTAAAGTGTATATATAACAATAACGGCAGAAGCAATTTTATAACGATCGGCAATTAGCAAGACAAACATCACGTGGCGACTTTGACTACACAGTACGCCACCCGAGGTAAGGAGTGCCGCTACCGTGTGTCAGGGAAATGGCACTAACAGACAACACTTGAATCCCACGAGTAAAACGACCTGCAAACTCCACATTGCAAAATGACAAGTCTTGGGATTAGGTCGTCAATAAACAATGGGGGGGGGGGGGGGGGAGGGGGCGTGGGAGAAAATGGGTCACAAAAACGCAGTTTTCGAAATTAATCTACGGCTCAAGGCAAATGTGGGCCGACAAAGTAACGGTGAGAAGTTATTTTAAAACAAGTCGACAGCTCGGGTGCGAAAGGTAATAACCATGGATGAAGACAAATCTTGCGGTGGCGAACGAAAAGACTAATATCGCGCATAGCAAAGCACTTTTTTTTAAGGCCTTCGTGAATATTTGGACAGAAAGTTGGAGCTGTAGGGTAGCAATGAGCCAGAAAACATCCCCAAACCAAAGGTGGCGAGAGACCCGACGGCGTGCACATTCCATCCACCTTGCAATTAACACGTTCAGAGAGATAGGCAACGTTTGCCGGGATGGGGGAGCCATCAGATTTCCAAAACCATAGCTTACAAAATTATTCCGCTCGTCGTGTATCGTCGTGGCCTGCGAGAATAATTGATGCAGGCACTTTTCCATGTCAAATCATTTCATGTTGGCAACGTTGTCCAAGTCTTTGTAATTAGGAAAGAACAACGGGAGGCAATGTTACCGTTAAAAAAGAAATGCAGAACGGATGGTTTTCGTCAAGTCGGACCCGAAGGGAGAGACACCCAGGGGCGTCGAAAACCTGCCAAAACTGTTCATTACACAATTTAAATTAGAAACTTCTAAAAGGTGGTACTGGAGGATTCGACAGAAAGTGGCGCTTTAAAATGCTGAAGACTGCAAAACTTAAAAAACACGTTCATGGCCGGCTTTTAAAACAATTCTTAAAAACACGTAGTCACACTAGTTTAAAAAAATCTTTACTCTTATATTTTTAGATTATTTAAAAACTCCAAAACCAAAGGCCAAGGTTCACGCCGCGTTTCCGCGCCGCTCGTCACCAGTAAATGCCGTTTGTGTTAACGGAGCCGGAGGGTTTGACGCAAATGGAATGGGCCCCACCACACCCCCTCTCAAAAACAAGGTGTCCTCCCACCACGGTGCAGAGGGGGGGTTTTGTTAGAAACCTCACCTTGCACCAGGGAGGCAAGATGGTTAAACGCCAAGACTTTGAAAGGGGGGGGGGGGCGGCTGGGGCTAAAAACGCTGCACACAAGTCTAGAACGGCAGAAGTGGGCAAATTATGTCACGCGTTGCATTCTCTCTTTCAAACATGTGGTACGAGTGATGGGGGACTGGTAATAGATGTAGGCAACGTAACTAGTTGTCCAGAAGTTACCTAAAAAAAAATGCAAGAATTACACAGAACTTCACTCAACAGCAAGGGTGGTAGTAGTAATGCAACCTCGGGGTGGGGGTGCAAGGTTTTCGCTTCAGACTTTGCAGACCTAATTTTCCAAGCACTTTTTTTTTACTGGCACAGGTGCACAGAACACAGCTTGGGCCAATGTGGAGCTGTTGACATCAAATACAAGTGTGTACCGAATGGAAGAGTGTGGAAAAAAAAAGTGTGAACCTTCTTTAAATTGTGGCTGGCATTTAGATCACTTGGTCAAGTCACATGGGCAATCGCCGAATTACACTCGAGTGTTCGTCTAAAAAACGTAATTTGTATTAATAGGAAGGAAAGCTTATAATAATGTTAAATAAATTCCAATAACCTGCTTACATTGCATTATGGAGCTAAGCATAAGTTTAAAAACTTTAACCAAAGATAAACTGATGAAAAAACTCTGGCTACAAAAATGTAAAGTTACAGAACGTTCTAGCGTCAACATCAAGTGTTTAAAAGCAAAACGAAACTTAATTAATAAACTCTTGTACTTTGAAATTAGAATGCTAATTTAACATTAAAATACTCTGCTGGTTAATAAAATAGTTTAAAAAATAGAAAATGTACAACAGTGTGGTGTCCAAAACAGCGGCTCTAATATTTAAAAAAAGGTTTCTCCGGAAGGGAAATAAACAGAATAAAAAGTTACTTAGCGTATACATAGTCTTTACAAAATATAACACAAGACTGGTAACCTTACAGCATCAAATGAGGACGAGAGCCAACTGCTACAGATTAAACCAACTGATATAGACGCCACAGACTCTGCTTGAATTAAAACACAGCAGCCAAAACAGAATGAATGTCCATTGAAGCCTTTTTGGAATTGAAAAAAGGTACTCGAGCTTTAAAAAACAATTGCGACGAGCAAATTATTTTAAATTGTCCACATTTTCAGAGCCTTCAATCTTCGTCGTCTTCCTCCTCATAACAACAACCGCCACCGCCCGTTGGAGATCTGCTCCACTTTCGACATCAAAACCGTGGACAAGAATTATTTAGCGTCGTCGCCATGGCAACCACGCTTGATGGGTGTCAAAACACATTTGTAAAGTTTCTGGGGCGCGCGATCATTCCCGCACGACGTGCCGCTGAAAACAAATAAAAGTTAAAAGCATGTAAATAAGAGACTCACCTGATTGTTTAGTGCACCATCACAACAGTAACAAGGGATCCGAGTGGCAATGCAAACTCACAGTAAAAGCCATCCTTTGGACACTTACATTCTGTGCATTTTCGTGCTAAAAAAAAGTCAGTTTCCTCTATTTTTCTCTTAAATTCTCACGTGAAAGTTTTTTTTTTCTCCTCATCCTCTTTTTGCTTGTTTTATTGCAAAGGCAATAGCGTCGTGCGGCGCCCCTAACGGCAAGGATGGAGGGGGGGGGGGTGGGACCACATTCGTGTCGAATTTTACCCAAACGGCCAGCAGTATCCCCTCTTCCAGGCACAAATCCCCATCCGCTGTTGAAAATAAAAAATCAAAGCCACACGTCTCAACGTTCACAAGTCCATCACATAGCAGCCGCCACCCGAGATTTCGCTTCTTTAAAAAAAAATATGGTGTTTGACGATCCTTCAAAAACGCGCTCTTGGAATTAACGACAACGGCTCTCCCAAATTTGGGTCACGAGAAGAAGAGGACTTTTGACTGCGGTCCGCCACTCCCCACCCTGAGCTCCCATAAAATGTAGAGGAACGTTTCTTCTTTCTCCCTCCCCCGTCCGGGGCGAGGCACGAGGCACGAGGCGCGAGGCACGAGGCGCGAGGCGCGAGGCACGAGGCGCGAGGCGCGAGGCGCGAGGCGCGAGGCGCGAGGCACGAGGCACGAGGCACGAGGCACGAGGCACGAGGCACGAGGCACGCCCCGTCACAGGGCGACCCGCGTGCAGCAGTGCCGCAGGCGGAACGGCAGAACGCCGCGGTTCAGCTGATAGAACTCCACCAGGCTGCACAGGTCCGAGAACTTCGTTTGGCCCTCGTCCAGCGAGTAGAAACCCTGCCCGTCGTCCTCCACCTGGTCCAGGAAACAACAAAATCGAACAAGGATTCGTAAGATTCTGGTGTTCGATGCCGATCTCACAGCAACAAGGCGTCCGGGCACGGAGGCACCGCTTGTTTGACGGACGTCGTCTGCAGTAGCGGGGGGGCGTTGATAAAGATTTGGTGTGTTTTTTCCCCCCCACCCAAGTGTGTGTTCACGTGTTAGTTAATTTAGCCAGAATTTACCCAGGCCAGCCTCCAAGACTTCCAGGGTCCTACACCAAGGTTTTGCAGTAGAGGGCGACGTTGCTGCTGTCAGTGCGATCCCAAGAGTCATTGGAGGAATTATTTTCAGCATTGGGGATGTTTAGCCAATACCAGTTAGTTATTTTGTTTTGCTCTGGCAGAACAGGGAACCCAGGAGGGGACCTTTGTAGAAGGGGAGAACATTCAAACGTCACAAACAGGTGCCCGTGTTCAGACTCGAACCGAGGCACTATTTGCTGTGAGGCACGAGCCTCACTGCTGTGCCACCACGCCAAAGTTTGCACCACGATGCCGGCGCATTGAGCCACACAGCCTTTGTCCAACGACGTCACGGGGGGGATCTTTAACGTCCGCCGAAGCAAGCGGCACTCTGTTGAGAGTTGGCCGCAGCATTACACGCAGGGTCGTCGTGTGGCACCAACAAGGCACGTTACCACCCACACAACGTTACCACCCACACAACAAATACGGCAGCAGGCCTCATCACGACACTTCCGGACAACTCGCGGCACAGCAAGTGGGGCCTCCGATTCATTCCATTCGTGCACAAGATGACGCAGAACACCCACGGTATACGAGCACCAGAGTCATTTAGAACATCTTTAAAATAATTTCCCACTGGTCGTCATTCCAGTGCAGTGACGGTGCAGTCGTTTGGCATGCTGTGATAGGAACCTGGTAAACCACAATTCTATTTGAAGCCACAACTATCAGTGTCTAGGAGACCGTGAAACCAGTCTTGGGCCCTCACCTGATCCCCTGTCCCAACCCACACTGGACAGTGTTATAGAAAACAATGTTTGGAACGCAGTTAGATTGAAAAACTTAAGGACAGAAAACAAATTTGTTCCACAGAGAGCCCTCAAGGAGATCCTCTTACTCCAAACATCAAACTGATAAAATATCCTCAAGCCCGTTTGTCAAGACGAGTGGCGATTTTTATTGATGCTAGTGCACCCACGGCAAAACGCAGCAGAATTTATTTGGTTCAAGACCGAAGCTGGTTTGGTCCACCGGACGTGGTGCCAAAAACGCCGATCTACAACCACCCCACGGAGCAGTCTATGGTAGAGCATCTCCCTCACCGGCAGAATCTGGAAATGCCGGACCTTCTGGTTGTGGCACAGAGACAGCACGAAGGCCTTGGCGTGGCTGTGACAATCACGTACCAGGAACACCCTGTGCAGACGCACGCACGGAGGACAAACCCAGACACAGATGATGCACGTTGAGAACACAAATCAAAGTTAATGTTGGCCGAGGTGCAATGGGCCCAGGAAGAAGTTTAAGACGGGGGGGGGGGGGTGTAAAAACCATCCAAATTGTGAGAGGTGGCCTCCCGTCGAAGCGACATTGATGGGAGATGGCAGAGGTAGGCAGGGGCCAAAGTTAGATTCAGGCTGTTGTCTAGCAGCACCTTAAATTGGAGCTCAATTAAGCAAAAAAGAGTGAATATGATCACACGTAAAAGGAACAGATTGGAGGATCCATTCGACGTCTGGGGGTTGTGCATCGCTGCCGTTTGCATTTACCCGTCCACAAGCCCCTGCTGCGCGATGATCTTCTGAGCCTCTTCCCTGGAAATGTGGCCGTAGAACCATGGCTGTGTCCAGTGGATCACTGGGCAACACCACGAGGAGCGGCAGCAAAAAACAATCACAACGCGTAGCAGCGCACACTCCCTTTGATACCAAGCATGTAGAGAGATAAACCACACCACTTATTACATGTGCGCAATAATGCCACCACGTGCCCAACAGACACCAGCGCACACCAGGCACGCAACAAATCAAAGCACAACACCACACCATCCAAAAAACACGTGTCCACAAAAATAACCGCACCGCCACACGCGGATCACGTGACTTTAGGACCCAGGGCTTTAAAGCATGTAGGTTGAGCGAGCGACCAAAACAGATTGCCCTGGGGAACTCAACTAGCAGATGCAACTCTGCCACCATAACAGAGTGCAGATGCCCAGTATAGCCGTAAAGCCTTTTGGGACAAGTGCTGGTAGTTAGAGCACCTAAAAATGCCAATGCCTGAGCAGCAAGGTTGTTGACCAAGACACGACCTGGCAAGTGGGAGGAGCACTGAACGCGTCGCTCTGGAACTCACTTGTGCTCAGCGTGGTGGTCTGTCCGGGACTGCCGCTTCCCAGGACGTTGAGTCGGTTGCAACCGCGTCTCTGTTGAAGTTAAAAACGTGTGTCAAGCGAAGGCAGTTGCCCATCAAAGCACACTAATCCACGGATTTAGACCCCAACCTTCGGCTCATAAATGGGGTTGGCGTGGGCACAGCTCTACCGATACCACCTCAAGCGACGGTGTTAGCCAAGGGGGGGGGGGGGGAGAATCACACTCCTAGCACCAGTTTCAGTGCACCACCCCACACTGGTAGGAATTTAAGTGCACAACATAATTTGAACAAGCACACCGACAACGGCATGGGCGTTGTGGACGAGCACCATTGGGTTTCAGGAGTCGCCGTTGACATGACACACGAGGGAAGGGTGCCGCGGGTGGCGTTCATGCAGCAAGGGAGTGCAGGCAGGCAGCAGAGGGAGCACCACTACAACGCAAAGTGGCTCAGAGAGAAAGCGCCAGCCATTTGCTCATTGAACCAAAAAGTGGTCACTCGAGCGAACCCACTGGGCAAGCGTAGACGACTCCCACCCCCTAACTGAACATCGGATTTCTCCAGGATAAATAAAATGGATTGAGATTGTTGTATTTGTACCCAGTTGCCAAACGCCCAAGCAGGGGTGGGGCCAGCAACGTGATCACGAGTCCACACGAGGCGCCCGCACGCGTTCAGCAATAAAAACAGCCGTAGTTAAAAGCTCTTGGGTGATGAACCAGAATCCCTGACCACCATCTTTCACGCACGCAAAAAAAGAAATGTACGTCCCCCCTTCTTCAAGGTTAACATTTACTCAGAATTTCACGCAAGTTTATTTTTCGGGTCTCAATCTGTGGCCGACAAACCCCAAGTGCTTCACCAAAGCAACCCCAAGGGCAAGTTGGCATGTTCATGTGAACGGTGAGGGGGAGCAGGTATGGAAATGGCGACTGAGAGTACGCGCATCGAGAACCAAGGTCCATCGGGACAGGCATCAGTCACGCTACCAAATCGCCAAGCAGATGGAATGAACGGTAGAGGTCGTCGTTCCTCTTGTAAGCAACAGCAGCTGCATGCAATCAAGTGCTCAGGCAGTGTGGACCCCACTTCGCCAAAATAAAGCATTACTGAGAAGCAGCTTAAGATCGTGCACTTGCCATGGTTTGACCAACCAATATTAATAAGGATGAAATGCCATCATGTGGGCACAATGCTCAGAAATCCAGATACAGGTCAAGCAACACTTGTTGTACAGCCAGGTCTGTCTGGCAAATGGGGAAACTAACCTCGACACAACGGTCACTTTCCTTATACCAGCTTGGTTTCAGCCGCCAATGATTAAAACATGTTCGTCAAGTCGAAATAATTCATGGTCTCTGGCCACCTATCAAATTCCAGCTCTAATAAAATGACAAATATCACTTCAGCTCTCCTGTGGACAATCTCACAGCAGTGTATAGTATCGTGAAATCCCCTGTATTGTGCAAGGGATAACAGGGCAATTCAATGAAATTTTTTTAGGACAAGTCAATTTGGAAAAACTCTTTGCGAGCATTCTCGGTCGCACAGAATGCCGCGCTCTGAGATTCCTGAATGGATTTAGTCTCTTGTCACCCTACTCAAAGTGACAAACTTGACGGGGAGGTAGTCATGAATTAAAAAAGTCCTGTACAACCCCCACCTTCCACAGCAGGGCTTCTTCAGCTGCCACCGTCTGTGCCTCCACGGGGTTCTCGATGATCCGGCCTTTCCGTCCTGAAAAATCCATCGCTACGAGCGAGTTTTCCGAAATGCTCCTCTGTTGTTCACACGCACAAACCACCACAAGATTCTGATTACCGACCGACATCACGCGCTCGTAGTGCAGCATGCTAACAAGCCGTGCCAGAGCTCCTCTCTCTCTCTCATGTTTGACAAATGTTTGGGGGGGGGGGGGGAAGAATTAAGAAAAAGGCAGCAATGTTACTTTGTTGCTCTTCGAAATAAGGTTGCACAGAACTTAAATCTGCAACACTGCACGGCCAGCGATGACGTCCACTACGTGCGTATGCGCACACACACACACGGCACGCGCTTGGGGATGCGAACACAGCGGTGCTTCCTCGGATGGATACCGCACGACGCTGCCACACCAACGAGGTCCCCAACGTGAACGACCGTCAAGGCGGTCCCGCAATACACATTTACATTCAAAATACAAACTGTGCGGAACAAAAACCTACGTTGGAGACTTGCGATGCTGCATTTCCAGCTGGTCAAGGGATTGCAACCTTCTGGGCAAGCGCATTTTCAGATAAATATTTGGCCGATGACTTTAAAGATAGCGCCAAATGTGGCATAACGACGGCGAGGTTCAGGCAGGGGTCACGGCTAAACTGGTATCCCAAAGCAATCCGCTGTAGCCAGGGTCCAGTGTCAAATCCCCAGGCGGTGCACGCGATTCTAAAGTTAGCGCGTGCGTGCGCGCGCCCGCCCGTGGATCGCACAAGGAAAAGCAAGCACATGTTTGGAATTTAGAGACTCATTAAGTGGTAGAGCCTTGCGAGAAATCACACTAGTATACATTTCTCACAGCCTTGATTTTTTCTCCCTTTATTGGCTGAACGTGCATTCGCCAGTCAATTAAGAGAAGAGTTAATCTTTTATTTACTCAAGTTTTCCATGAATTAGTGATGCACGGGATTATAAATCAAAGTGAGCGAGGCTCTTAACCATTTTTAGATCATGTGCGTGTAACGTCAACCAAAATAAAATATCCTTGGCCGGTACGTCTTCTGGATAGAAGGCCAGAAGACGTACCGAAGATTCCACAGGGCCATGCGGGAGGGCTTGTGGCACAGTTATCGTGTCACTAGTTCTCGGCAGCAAGTACAATGTCTTCAACAGCAACGGCGCTGTGCGCCTCTCACTGTTTGCGTGTAACGAGATTCGGGAGGTTAACAGGACCCATCCCGCAACTTCTCAAAACGGGAAAGGGGTTGAGGAGAATTCATTTCTGGCACACAATAATGTAGCAGAGAATTGGAATATAAATCCCAGTGAGCAAGGCTCTTCAGGGGCTGTTAAATAAAAAAAGTCGCACCAACTTGGCAGTGGCAGCAGGCTAACCGACGTGACAGTTTTCAGAATTTGGGAGGTCCGACTAGAAGCAGGTGGCTAAAAAAAAAACACGACACCTTGCAGGAGGCCAAGGTGATTTGTTTGAAAACACCAAGCATGCCCGTCAGATGAGCAGATAAAATGTGATCGTGGTCTATTTTTGTCCACTTGCATGCTTACATAAGATAACAGCGGAGACCATGCGGGTGGGTGGGTGGGGGGGGGGAGAGGGTTGAGAAAAATTATGCGCAACATTCTATGGAATTTACCATGGGCGTGGCGGTAAATTGAGTCAGGTGGTTCCATCTCGGATGATGCGGGGTCCTGTAATTCTGGTACAACTGGATACCGTGCTGAAAACACAAACAAACAAGTGCACGCACACACACACGTGTCACTGTACAGATCTTTGCTCCACCGCAAGCCGACGGGGGGAGCACGCCATCTCCTCCGGCACTGTGGCGGCAACAAGCTGCATCGAGAACGACTGTGCGTGCGAGACCCGCCGACACGCATAGGGTCAAAGGTCAAAGTGATTTCCTGCTCAAACGAGCAGAGGCGGTGTTTTCACGAGCCCGTGGGGGGCAATTTGCGTTCCTACGACAGGGGTGAGTCCATCCAGAGCACAACCACTTTTGTCTTTTTTTTAATTGACCTTGGCAAAGGGCTAGCGTATTTAGGGCACAAAATGAATGGATACTTAATGAATATAAACAAGAAAATGTACCCACGTGCACAAATTCTAGCACGTTTTCTAACCCGTTTGTTCTCGGATATCGGTGACATCACGACGTCCACGACGACCGAGTCACATCGAGATGTCGAACAGCACAGGGGCACTGGAGGCGACGTCACGGTGGAGTGGTGGGCGAGTCAAGCACACGGCGTGACATCAGCCTGAACCAGCAAGGCTCTTTAAGGGTTTTTTTTGGTTCTCAAGCCAAGAATTGGGCAATCTTATTAAATTCGCCAATATTCGAGGACAAGTCCTTCTAGCAACCACAAGTGTACACAGAATTATTTTTTAGCGGATCATCTTTATGATTATTACCATGACTCCCCCCCCCCGTCCCCCATTGCAGACACATCTGGACAGAACCAATGCACTTAATACTTTCAACCTTAGGTTGGAAAGCATTCAAAATAAGTCCTGGAAATGGATTAGGGTTTCCACACGGACCTAATTTGCAAATGCAACTTTTGTTTGCGCCAAAATCCCCCCCCCCCCATTTACGTTAGCTGCGATCAATACAGCACAATCTCTAATTTGGAAGAAAAAAAAATCTGAGCTCAATCGATCGCAACATTCGTGCGCACCACCCCCTGCACAAGACCGTTCAGCCAAACGAGATTGCCCCCTTCCCTACCAGCACTTGGATTTAAAAGCACCCCCCATACCAATTACCTTGAAGAGCCTCATGGAGGTCATCCAGCAGGCCTTGCTCTGCTCGTCCTCTGCACACAGCAGCTTCAGATCTTTCACTCCACCCGCTTTGTTAGGCTGTCAAAACGCAAGCACAAAAAAGGACAGTCGGTTGGTCGGCATCGCTGTCGCACGACTCCCTGGGAGATTTTATGTACTTTTAACAACAAGCGGTGCATGCGAATATTTACGGTTTCACGCAAACGAGATCACGTAACGGTTAAGTTGGAGTGAACAAGCCCGTAACAATGCAGAAAACAAATTATATAAATGAGATTGTAAATTAGAGACATTGTTTCAATTAGCCAAATGGCAGGTCCCAAAGAAATGAAAATTGATGAGGCAGGGAGAATTACATACCAAGCAAAAGCCTCAAAGTTAAGTTCGACTGGTAATGCTAGGCCGTGTAACCTGCACATGTAAATTCATGCACACGCAATCACGAGTTCCTGCATCATTGTTAACAATGCACATAACGCAATGGTTGCACTCGCGATGGGTGCACGTGTAAGAACAAGTTTTTCAATTGTTCACGTGGCATGGAACAACTGCTGCCACTGGAGGCTACTACATTCACCAAGGCAAAAACTTCGGTTAAAAACCATATTCACTGCACTCGCTAATCAACAATGCCTAAACATTTCTTATATAGATCAGGCAATGGCTCTTCCTTACAAGGAGCCACTGCCTGAAACGTAAAATACGCCCACTTGTACATGTTTAAACAGCAAACGCTGTTGGCCATTTCGTCCCCCCTCCCCGCCAATCGGCCCAGTTGGTGGAATTGGTGTAGTTGAGAACTCCCCCCCCACCCCTCCCACCCCCGTTGCGCACGCAAAGCTTGGTCCCTCCCTCACCTTGAGACAGAAGCAGAAGTCCGAGGGGGCGTTGTGAGTCTTCCGCGGAGAGAGCACCGTGTACACGTTGCTCTCCGTTATCTCCGCAAAGCACTGCAAGTGTCGTGGCTCCTGTGGGTTTGGAAGCAAGGGGGAGAAGGTGAAGGCGAGGCAGCGGAACAGACAGCCTAGGTGGGTAGCCGCGTGGCTCCGGGAGGTCGGAGCAATGGGCTTGGCACTTGCGGCAGAGATCGGAGTTAGAATACAGCCAAATCACCTGCGATGATTCAAACCGGGATCTTAAGGTGTAATATGCATGTTGAAAACCACACGTAGCCAATAACGCTAAATTAGGAGGAGAGTTGGTCTTGACCGGGTTAAGAAAGAACGGACAAATAAAACCACCACATTGAATTTGGGGTCCACACTTAATCTGCCTAAATTGGAGCATGAAGGGGTAGAACCAAATTTGGCAATGTTAAATAAGTACTGAGAAATAACAAAATATAAAGTTCTGAACTTCATACGACAAGGTAACATTACACTCCATGGGTGGGGTGGGAAAACGCTGCCTTCAGAGTGAACCCACAGGTTACTTAAATGGATTTCAGAAGTAGTTGTAACATTTGAGTTGGGGCCAGCATTCAAATGTTAAAAGGTGGGGGGGGGGGGGGGGGGGGGGGGGTAAAGTTGTGCTTTTCCAAGAGGCAGGCGATCAGATTTCTCAAAAAACCCAATCGCAAAAAAAAATAATATGGGATTAAAAAGGAGGAAAGTTACAAAATATCAGGCACAGTCCAAATGTCAAGAAGAAACTCCAATAAACAAGCATCATGGCAAATCATTATCAGCCACTGGTCAATCCACCGTTGGGATTATGGCATCCACAGGCTATTGCCACCTGTCAACGCTGCGACATTAATAATCCACTTGGCACCTGCAAACGAACCAATTTAATATTGCTATCTCCCCATTGGACATCCTATTGGACATCCTATTGGACGATAAAGTCCCGAGGCTTCCACGCCATCTCACACGGCCATCATACCTCTTTCGAGCCATGGACACTACCCACCCGCTACATCTCACCCCTCTTGCAGGAAACAGAAAAATTACAAAAAAAATCAGCCGTGGAAAAAAAAACTGCAACCGCCATAGTGCAGCCCCCGGGCAGAAGCAGCAGCAGCAGCACGTTCGTCACCTTCGAGGTTCCCTTCAGAGAGAAGTAGAGGCCCGAGCGGCGGAGCAGGAAGAAAGATTTCTTCCAGGATCTCTTTCCCGACTCGCGCACGCTCAGGTATCCTTGGATCTCGGGGCAGCTGCTCGAGTTGAAGAAATTCTGGTGTGGAAAGGGGGGGGGGGGTGTAAAATAGCAAGATGATAATCGAGCACCAATGCACGATAAGTACGAGTACTTTCAAAGACGTCGCAGCTTGGGGAATTTTTCAAAGTGCTAGTTCACAGCATGAGGCTCCAGCCGAGGGGTTTGGGGGGTTTAAACGACTGTGGGAGCAGAATGTGTACAAAATCGGTTGTTTCACTGAATGTTTGAACACACCACTACTGCCAATCACCACCGCGGACAGAAACTACAGCTCTTGTACACTTCTGACTCCGAGCTCAAACTGAAAATCGTGGGAGCTGTAGACCACGTAGAACAATTCCCGTGGCGAAGTACACCTCGTAAAATTACTCCTCGGAGCGCTGCCTTGCCTGGCTGAAGAGGCTCAAGAGGACATCTGCTACTCTGCAAGAAGATACATCAACAACCTGCACTGGCCAGTGCGGCCAAGCATGGTCAACTGCACACGTAGGCAATCGGAGTGAAAACGAGGCGTTTGCGGTATTGCGTCAGAGTATTTGGCATCGCATAAGCGGCGCACAGGCCCGGGGACAGGAGGAGAGCGCGCCAGAGTTTCCTACCCCGAAAACATCACGCTCATCGCGAGCTGCGTGCGTGCAGGAGGCATTGCATGGCTCACCTGCACAAGCTGCGAGTGAGGGACACTTCCGTTTGACGAAGACGCCGACGAGGCCGACTCGCTGCAGTTGGACACCATTTGGTCAGGGAAAAATTGCTGCGGATGTAAAACAAACACGAGACAACACCGGGTGAAGGACGGGACCGAGGACGGACGAGGGCCGCAAGGCTGCCGATGGGGCCCGGCGTGCTCACGTCAGGGCCTCCATGGGAAGGTTTTGAAGCACTGCGGCCGTTAGGCCTGCAAACAAGTCGACCCCTACTCCTCTTCCCCCGGCCGGGTGACGAGTCAATTAAAGTGACAAGTTGGGTTCACACGCACACACACACACACACTTCTATGAGACTCAAGATTTGTATGTGGAAAAAAAAATCAATACATTCGTACAGTTTCATTTGCTGCCTTTGGCATAAAGGTTAAAATGTTTATCATTTGAATTGTCAAAATTTTATGACTCACGACAATCACGTGCCAGGAGCATAAAACGCTGCATTTCATCGATGTGATTCGGTTCCCGTTGATCCAGACTTTCAGTATCAGCAACAACGGTGACGGCAAAACGCGAGCGCAGCTTTAGAACAGACATCTCTGAAGGGAGCAGTCCGCGAATGCCCTTGTGCACTTCTCAGGGATTCGGTGGTGCTGTGCGGGAGGAGAGGGGAGTTGATGGCCGGTACCAGCGGGGTCTTGAAGAACTCGTATTTGGCGTAGTTTTTGCGGAAGTAGAGGCGGCTGTCGGCATCACTGCCCCACGACGCCTGCACCTGCATCACTTCCTCATGGTCCTCGAGCAACCGCTCTGCGCATATGGGGGGGCAAACCAAGCACCACAACAAAAACAACAACAACCACACCTTAAAAACGAGATTCATTCAGTGGCACAGCCTTTCCACAAGGGAGACTTCCGATGTCAAGCAGAGGGGACCTGGCACAGGTGTTAATCTTTTTTCGCACAGTTATTTTTCCACAACGGTGGTCAGTGCATGGCTAGAACACCAAGTACTGTAGTTGCACAAACCGAAATAAGAGATTTTAATCTGCGTCGTTACGCCTCTAGGAGGACGAAGCCTTCGACACAAATGCGTCAATGTTCTGTGGGTGTACCAGATAGTCGTGCGGTTGTATGCGAGATGCTGCCAAATAGGTGCAGCGGTGGCAATGTCCTTAGGACAATGTGTTATGAACTCGGCAACCAGTGTTAATACCCCAGTGCTCGTGATAGTTCAACCAGTTCGAGCACCCTTCCCCACCACCACTGACCAGCATGAAGTATAACAACGATCAAAAGTATGGACAGACCTTCCGCTCAGCACTAGGATTGTCAAGGTGCTTTACATGTATTTACATTTGTATTCCAATGTTGTCCTCGGTATCACGAGACAATAGAATTTCCATTCGGAACTCGCAGATGGGGGAGGGTTACGAGTGTCAGCGTGGCCTTGTGGAGGCAGACAATTCCGTAAACACATTACGTCACAAGATCATATTGCGAAATTCAAAACCCGCGAGTGTATATATTCTTGCCATGAACGTCGCTTGGCATGAGAGCAGGGGAACTCTTTTTACCTACTGCTGTTATAACAAATGCAGCAATTCATGGAACTGGCCGGAAACATTTCAATTTGGAGGACACTTAAGCACTGCAGAGAGATCCACTACACACACACGTATATATATATAAATAATATGTATACACGCTTAAAACCAAAATGTTTATTTTTCGGAAGGGAAATAAAGTTCAAGTAACAAAAAAGCTAATGTTTATTATTTTATTTATTACCAATTGCAGAGACTATCCCGTCCACTACAAGGATAGGGAGGAGAGAGCACCTAGTCTAAAGCCATGGGTGGCCAAGGCCAGGATTCTAACCCAAGAGTTCAGCAGGGCTAGCTCTGCCTCACCTCATTTCCAGACAGTCCCGGTATTTGGTCCTTTGGGTCAATTATATTTTTCAGGAAGTGTGTGGTCGAGCAAAGCAAGTAGGAGCATTATCTCCACAACTCCATTCCCATGATCCACCATGTCCACGCTTACAACTAGAACAGATGGGCAATTACAAATTAAGCCACTGCATTAACCAGATGGCTAGCAACTGGGAGGCAATTAAAAATTAATCCCGATTGGTGGTTGTTCAACTTTTAGACAAGAGATTGCCAAGCGCTGGTTTAAAAAACACGACAACGCATTCACTGCCCATCTGGCACCCAAACCTCGCTTGGCTTTGTTGTTCTATCAAATCAACCACCGGCAAACGTCGCGACTTTAGCACAATTCAATACAGACTTGTGCCTGCTCAGCCCATGCCGGAGCAGACTGTGGATGCGGGAAACGGGACCACAGTAGATCACGCGGAGTGGATTAGAGAACGATGGAATGCACATGGTCTACGATTTGGGGGGGGGGGGGGGGGGGGGGGGGAGGGAAACCATTTTTTTCAACATCACGTCTGGACTTTTCATTTGCCAATGATGCTACATCAAGGTGTCACTATGGACACGTCACGGGGGGAAGGTGGAGGGCACCAAATATTTTAACTTGACACAGCAGGCGATGTTAGAAAGCCACAATGCCACACCTGGCATAGGGAGAAGCACCCCACCCTCGCCTCGCTGGCTGGAAGAACAGCGAAGATGATACTTGCAAGTTGCTGCCAGCTCAGATGTGCCCCCCCCATCCCCCGTGGCCCACAGAAATCCTTGCGGTATAAAAATCGCGTGAGAGCGCAATTCCAAAACAGTTGGAACGCCAGCAGAATTTCGTTCCAGTGTGCAACCCATCGAGCGCACAGGATGGCACAACGGGGGGCGGGGGGAGGGGGGGGAATCGATGTGCGGCCTCAAAAAACACAAGGCTTGGAGGGATGTCACAGCAAGGAGGCACCAAGTGGCCAACGTGGCAAAGGAAAGATCGGTTGGGTCGGGAGGACGCGATATCTCTGTTTGTTTTGTCTGCACGAGAGAGAGAGATTTGTATCTCCCACTTTGTTTGCGCCTCGGCTCTTTTGTAAGAGGCTTTGTCTCGATGGAGGTGCTCTCACCTGGGTACAAAGAGCGTTCATGTACGTGTGCACAACACTTCAGCACAAAAGCCACAGTTGCCCGTGGACGGGGGGGGGGGTGGTAAAAACGACAAATCGCGATTATGTATTGAAAAGGGGGACTGGAGGCAAAGACAACAGCACGGAACAACCGTGACGAACGCCGCCTTTGGTAGGGCAATAACACGGCAAGCACTTGTGGGCGGGCGATGAACAGCAGCGCGGCGGGGAGAGCGGACGAGCAAAACGGACGGGGCGAGCCAACAAAGGGGGGGGGGGGGTCGAAGCCACGAACCTATGGAGACGGAGACCAGGCTCTCGATGAGCGACCAGTTGTTGTCGTCCACAAAGTGGCGTCGCTGAACGAGCATCTGGGCAACATCGCGCGCCGTCGCGTCCGTGGGCACCTCCAGCGCCCTGCTGGTGCCGTCCTCGCTGAACACCTTGATCACCTGCACAAGCAGAGGGGGGCGGGACGGCAGCCACAGTCAGATATTGGCCACAAACTTTGTTTTAAAAATCAGGTTACGGCCCTGCCGAGCTATGTAGCTTTTTTCCCCCAGAAGCAATCTGGTTATCGCAAATTATAGCTTAAAAAAAAAGTGGCTTAAATCACGTGTATATTTATAGGAGCGAAACACCGTTAAAGCACGCGAATTTTAAAAAAATGGAGGGGAAAACCAGACCCAGAGAAAAATCCACGTGACCACAAGGGAGAGAACATTCAAAATCTAAATACAGGGTGTCAGGGACAGAAAACCCACGACCGTCTGTATACCAGGCGAGGTAGTTAACATCTTGTCACTGCAGTACCCAAGAGCATTGGTTTACCTCCCAGCTGGATGACCGCGACTGCTGTAGATCATAATACCAGAACAGAAGTAGGTGCAAAGTCATTTTTCAAAACAATTAAACGTTATCCAAAACAAAGCATTACTTCAACAACCTTCAGCAGAGTGAATAAAACTCGCGAGTTGCACAACCACATGAAATTTAGACGGCACGCAATTAAAATGTACCAATAACATTTGGTTAATGTTGCACAGAATGTAGTTTTTTTTAAAATGGAGTGTTACTCAAATGTAAGGACTTACAGCGCGCACCAGTAATCTTTGACAAATAAAACAAGTCATTAATAAATAGCGTTGGTAGATTTGAGTGACGTGTTGAAAATAATTACTGTGCCAACAAAGCATTCGTGCCCATACGAGGGCATGTCAGGTTCACAGGACGAAATCTTTACACGCAGAGTGTAGCGAGACACAGGAAAGCGTTACTAGAAAGACCCAAGGCAGCATTGGAGGCAGTCAGATCTGTCGTTTCACCCTCAAAAGGGCTCAGAAAACCACAGGCCAGCTGCCAAGCAGAGGGCAGAGTTGTAGCCAAGCAAGAATCCCACATGGGAGTTCCAAAAAACAATAATTCCTCGAATCGTTACATGGGCAAATGCCTTGCATCCCACAATTATTTATCCCAGTTCAGGAGATTCTAAAAACGGCAGTCAACTCTGTGGTTACCAACTGCATTGATAAGACTTTAGGCTGGCAGTGGATTTGGCAAAAGTGCCTGTTTAACGTTGCATTCCAATTTTGCTACTGACATATGACCAAGGAATTTTCCATTGTAAGTTAGGGGCAGCCGATCAATGTACGCATGAACAGTACGATTTAAAAACCAATCACGAACCCACGGACCCAGTCACCAGAAATAGAGGACTGGAGACACTTCAGAGATTGCTGCCCAATTGGGCATCGAGGTGCTCAAAATCGAGCCAAGTGCCAAGCTAGTGGTGGAAATTCCATATTGCTATGGCGAGGGCCGAGTTCAGAATAAAAGTTATTTATGCTGGGAGGAATCCAATGGGCTGTGCAGCTCTTTGCAGATGTCCAATATCCATTGGACCACCACTCCATGGCTTCAAAAGATCTCATTTTATAGACCCTGGAAGGATGACCAGTCAACTCCCCATTAGCCCTTCCAACGAGGATTTGAACTCCCAAACGTTGATTGGTGGCGCTCCCGACTGCAGAGCCACCTGCTAAGAAACAAATCTGGAAAACACCTCAAATTGCAAGAATAAAAAAGTCCACAAGACAAGCATGCACGTTTGTATTAAAGGACAACCGGGATCCTGCAGAAAAGACTGCCGCCCTACCAATGGAGTCGTTGCACTCGCTACACTCAAAAAGGGCTCGCCACAAATGAACCACGACACCTTGCTGATCTCGTCAAGGAGCATTAGCCATCAAAGTGACCTGCGGTCATTCTCGCAGCAGCGGCTTTTGGCGAGCCATAGAACAAAGCCGTCACTGAATCGCGCACTCCAGATGCGCCTCTGCAGCAGGTTGGAATACTCTTCTTTCCTGACATTTGGTAGCCACTGGGGTAATGAACTTAAATCTAGGCTTGAAAAAGAGTGTCTTTAGAACTGTTGTGTTTAGTTTGTTATCCTTCCCCCGCACTTCCAATGAGCGTGGTTGATTACGTACTGCGCGAAATAAGTTCGTACATAGCAGGATCGGTATGGAGCGTCAAATCGGCAGGACCCCCCAGCAAGAACTCCTGCACATGCAGATGCCTTCGAGGCACGAGGTTTAAACGTGGCATTTGAGCCAAACGGACCATGGTGCAGGGCACGTCGGCTTGAGAGACGGCCCATAACAACGACAATGAGTTGCACATGAGCCGACCACACCAGAGAGAGAGCGCGCGTGTCAGTGGTAAAGAAATTTCCCTCGCAGGCAGGCAGTCACGCAGGAAATCTATTTTTAAACAATAATACTTTACAAGAATTTGGTTAAGGACACAGCTGGGCCTGTTGGGAGAATCGAGACCACACTTGTCCTGCCCGTTCCCGTCCTCTCACGTTGGCCATCCTCCTCCCTCATTTCTGGTCGAGACAAAATGAACTAGGAACGACCTCTCGCGCGGAACGCCGCACGTGGCATCTCACCGGGCCGTCATGGTGAAATCCGGCATCCTTTAACAAACAGACGCACTCTCACGTTCAACCCCTGGGTTCACAGCTGTGCGAGTAATGTTCGACACGGGTAGCCAAGCTCGCAGCAGATGCCAACGTTCCGCGTGAGATCGCTGTACCGGTGTGTTCGTAAAGACCCCACCAGTAACAACCTAATAAGTAGGGGAGAGTGTTTTGAACATATTTTGCGTCGTACGTAGGCCAATCATTATACATTCAGAAGCGCAGGTTTCAAACTTCGGCATCGTACAGATCGCAAAGACGTCCAGTGATCGCCGATCATATTTCTCAAATTCTAAATAAATCTATAACGTCGCTCTGCATTAAAAACAAACAAATAATTTCCAACATTTAAAAAAGGAACAAATTGCTGAACTAAGGAGCTATTCCTACTGCGTCAGCCGCGAGGTTTGCTCGCCCATCACGATGAGGTCGTGGCCAGGAAACGACCTCTGGGTTGTCAGGGTTATAGAGCACCATCCCATTTAGAGCATCCCTATCACGGCGATAAAATTGTACGACCACGTCACGGCAATCATGCAAGTCACAGGGCATTTCAGGAGGAAAGAATATTAAAAAATTGGGCAAAATATTAATACCGTACAAGATTTTAAAAAGTCCCTCACCTGCATTTGTAGCCTCATGGTTGAACGAACAAAACTGGGAGCCGCGCTCAGACGCAGCCGAGCAACGGTGCCCCCCCCCCCTCCCCCTTTAGGCAGACTTCGATGAAGGTTATCGCTGCGCTTCACACAGCAACTTTGTTAGAAACTCGGGCCGAATTAACAACGTAAATTGTAGCAATCGCGTACCAACGCCCGTGCTTTACGGGAACCTACCCGCAGTCCAAAATATAAAAAAATAAAATCGCGTGTCGTTATCTCCCACCGAGATTAGATGGATTTTTTTTTTTAAACCAGGTCGTACAATTTCGCCAGGCTGCAATGTTACAGGAGGTAATGAAAGCCACCACGGAGCAAACTCTCTTCGCACTCCGAGCAAAGCGCGCCGCTCTCATTCGAGTGGGAAAGTTCCGCCGGAGGTATATATATAGAGAGAGGCTGCAAACCGCAACGTTACGTCCGCCGAGAATGTGTTTTTTTAAGCGATCCCAAAAGACCCCCCCCCCCCACCTCGCCCCCACCACAGCCTTCGCTCCTCAATGCGAGACTGTGCCCAGATCGCACTGCCCACCCGCCCGCCCGCCAAGCGCGGAAGTGCGCGTTGGGTGCGCCAGAAAGATGAGTCAAGCGCTAACACCCTCATCATCATCATCATCATCGCTGCGACGAGTGGGCGTTTGTTGCAAGCGGCGTCCGTCCTCAGGGCGGGGGCAGTTTGGTCGGCTGCACTGCCGTAGGTTACAGCAGACGGGGAAATAGACTAGTGTCATTCTTAGGATCGAGCAACCACATTAAAACCAAAGCCAGATAAGCCAAGACAACGGTCTCTCATTACAAAATAACGATTAAAAGAATTGTACCAGCGTGGCTTCTGCAGCAGTTACAGCAGAAGTTGACTGCGTTCACGTGCCCATCCACGACATCCCACCCCCACACTAACTCCCATTTTAAAAATTGGTTTCTACTAAAAACTTTCCGGGCACTTTTAAGCGACGTTGGCGGTAGGGTGGCGTAGGGTAGGGAGGGAGGGAGAGGTGGCATGCGTGGCCTGCAGACAGACAGCGTGGATTGCGGTGCTCCGCCGGTGAGGTCATCAGCGGGGGGGCGGTTCGGGGGAACCAAAAAAAATCCCCGCCGTGTCAAGGTGTGCTTTAGGCGGGGGATTTCACCACTTCCATTTTTGCTACCGGGGGAATTTTAACGCGTCTCACCCACGGAAAGATTGCATTGGGGGTCGTACGAAGCGCATCGAACGAGTCATCGCAAGACTTCACAAGGCACAATAAACAAATTATTCCGTTATAAATTAGAGTTTTAAATGTAATTTACCAACAAGGAGTGAGGAAATTAGACACTGCGTACAATTTGTAACGGAAGTTTAAACGCCACGTGAAAAGATGCGCACCTAGTGTGCAAAAGCTCTCCGGCTTTAATGTCGACACCACAGCTCAAAAAGAACTGCGGCCGTAGCAGTTTAAATTAAACTAATTTTTAAAATGTGGGCAACCAACAGGCAGCAGTCGAACAAGGTCACAGCTGTAGCGGTTTCACCCCCTTTTAGTTTAGCGATACTCAGGAATTTTCATTTCACATGTAGGAATGGCCATTTTTGCACAACTTCTGGATTTCAGTAAACAAATTTAAAAAGTCCACCAAGCCTGCACACAAAAATAGCAACGTTGTAAATGTACAACTTCTGCAGCTACGACGTTAACCAAACGTTGAAGCCGGCACACTTGAAGTGTGCCACATAGCCCGGGTGGGGTGTAAACTCCCAGCGGCACTCAAAGAGCGAGGAGGTTTTCACGACACTGCGGACAGAGCGATGGCTTAAATCATAAGAGACCAC